TTTGACGAGGAGGGGGAGGGGGCCTCCGACGAGGAATGGAGGCCCCTCGTGTGCGGCTAGAAAGGCCGCCGCCGCAGAAAAGGCCCCCACTGCGGCAGTTCCAGCCCGCAAAAGACCCTCTGCGGCCCCTGCGCGCAAGAGGCCTTCGTCGTGGAGCCCTCTTGGGCCCCTATTGGAGTCCTCTTGGGCCATCGTGGAGCCATTTGAGGCCTCGGGCGGCCATCAGAAGCGAAACGGCTAGAATGGAAAGTAACAACCTGTGATTTCCGAAGTTGTTGGAAGGATGTCTTGGCGGCCTCTGGGAAGGCTCTCGGGCCACTTGGGCACGTTTGAGAGCGGTCGTGGGGCCTCTTGGAGCATACTGGGAGGCGCCGCGCGCCATCTCTGAGGCCATCTTGGACTCCCCGAGGCGCTCTGGGAGCCGTCTCGGGCCATCTTGGACGCTCCAACGCGTCGCGGGGCGCCCCGCCCATGTCCAGGGGAGGGGGGAAGGGAGGGGGTCAAGCTACCCACCCGCCCGCAAGCCGTTTTGCTCACTCCCAACCGCCCTCCCAGCACATAAGTGGCACCCGGGTGTCAGCATATCGCGTAACAGCGCCGCAGGAGCCACGGGTTCCAGATGCACCAGACACCTTGCAGGCCCAAGCGTGCTAGGCGCGCCAGGTGCGGCACGTGTTCACGTGCGCCCAGTGTTCCACGTGCTCCAGTCGCGCCAGGTGCGCCAGCCACTGGGAACCAATAGGGGCTCCACCTGCGTGCGCCGCAACTGTTGCTACGCCAGCAATCGCGCACGCCCCAGCGCTGCTTGTGGACATCTTTGGAGCGCCGTGGGCGTGGGGCCCTCTTAGGGCAATGTTCGAGCACTCTTGGGGCCCTCGTGGGAGCCGCGAAGAGCCTCTGAGGGCCATCCTGGAGGCAGTCGATCAACAGAAAGGGGGTAACGGCCAGCCCCCCCTATCTGGGGCTAGCCCTCCCTTCAGAGGGCATCACAATTGCCTCTTGAGGCCCTCGTTGGGCCATCTTGGGGCGCTCTTGGGGCCGTCTTGGAGACCTCGTGGGCCCGGCTTGGGGCTCTCTTGGGCCATCACTCTTGGGGCCCTCTTGGGAGCCTTGGAGAGTCTCTGAGTGCCATCTTGGAGGCAATCGATCAGCAGACGGGGGGGGTAACGTTCAGCCCCCCCCGTATCTGGGGCTGGCCCCCCCTTCAGAGGCCCTCAGAACCGCCTCCTGAGGCCCTCTTTGGGCCACATTGGGGCGCTCTTGGGGCCATCTTGGAGGCCTCGTGGGCCCGGCTTGGAGCTGTCAGTCTGCGGCCCTCTGGAGGCCTCCCCCTCCAGGGCCCTCAAACATTGTCTCTTGGGGCCCTCTTGGCGCCAAGTTGGGGTATTCTTGGGGCCGGCTTAAAAGCCTCTTGAGCCAGGCTCGGAGCTTTTCTGGTCAGTTTTGGTTCCATGTGGAGGTTCCCGTCGGAAACGAAAAGGCGAGACGGCAGCAGCCATTCATTTGTCAAACTGATCGGTCGACCATCTGCGCCCCGATGGCAGGTTGGATCTGATGGCATCTCGGCCGTCCCTGTAAAATGCCAGTACAAGTGGCCGCGGGGCGGCCGCGCATGCTCCCAAATGTGGATGCAGAGTGTGTTTGTACTCCAGATTTCGTAATAAAGGGAGGGGGGTCTCATTTCGGGGGGGTCTCTTCCAGGCTATCTTGGAGGGCCTGGGGGGGTCTGGGGACGATGTGTTGGAGGGTTCTCCCACGGGGGGGGTCTGAAATGGCTTGTCTTGGAGGGTCCAGACCCCCTCCCTTTTATTACGAAATCTGGAGTATTGTTTTTGTTGACGGATGGTGGGGGTGTGTGAGCATGGGGTCGGCATGGATCGGGGTTGGCTGCAGGCCGGGCGGGGGAGGGGGTGTGTATGTCTATGAGGGAACAGTGATGAACCCCTCTCCGAAGGGGAAGAAGGGGGGTGGAAGAGAAGTTCCCTTGACCACCTACGCCCAAAGGGCTGGTGGTACCGGCGACGCGTTTTCTTTTCCTGCCGCGCACTGCAACGCCGGCGGCAAAACGTTGATGTTGCAAGCAACACTGGCGAAGTTGTATGTCTGTTCTTGACGGGCGGGATGGCACCGTTTTCTTGGGCCCCGTGTTGATATGCCAGGGGGCAGGGTGGGTTAATGAGTACCAAAGGACGGGAGGAGGAGGAGGGAAGAGGATCTGGAAGAGGAGTGAGAAGTTGGCTTCATCTTCTAACGTTGCGGTTGCTCACGGCTTTTTACAGCCTTGACCATTTTGATATTTGTGTGCGCGTTGAAGCACGCATTAGGCATGGAAAGACACGGGCCGGCGGGACGGATGCCGATCTTGGATTTGAGAAAGGGAGAAACAAGGATGCCGACCTCAAGAGGACGTCACATTTGATTACGCGGGGGCACAACGACCACAGCGTTCCGATAAGATCCCGAGCACGACGACGAGAACACCGCTCCCACCCCCCCGCAGGCCTCCTTGGCGCGGTGGCCGCTGCTGGTGCCTCGGACGAGGAGTTGTCTGCGCGCCCTGTCGCCCGCACCTTGCGCCTCCGCCGTCGCCTCCTCCCCCGCCCTCGTCCGCCTCGTCCTCCTCTTCCACGGGCTTGTCCACAACATGTTTTTTGTAATTTGATACTCCTCGTCGCTGCCCCCGTCCTCTTACATGTATCCCTCTTCCTACCCTTCCTGCTCCTCCTGCGTGCTTGTCCTCGTCCTCGTTACCACCTTCGGCTCCTCCCTCTCCGGGTAGAGGAGGAGCAGCATTAATCGCAATCGTGGCGAAAGAGGAAGAGGCAGATGAGGTATATAGAAGAAGGAGCAGACGGAGGAAAACCGTCGGAGCGGGTCGGGAATTTCTTTTGTCGTCCTTCTCATCATCAGCTGCATCAGCATCATCATCATCTTCATCAGCAGCAGCAGCATCATCATCATTGTTTACCTCCGTATCTTCCCATCCTCCTCTTCCGCCCAATTCTCGATCCTTCTCCTCCGTATCTCCCTCCCCTACTCCCCGTGGAGTTGGATTCCAGGAGGAGCAGGATCACGAGGAGGATGAGGAGCAGCAGCAGCAGCAACAGTGGGATGGCCTCATCCCTCCTCGTACTTCGGTATGCCCTTTCTCTTCTAACTCTTCCCCGCTCTCCGCCCACCTCGTCCTCCCCTTCACATTACCCAGCCCGACGATCGGCCTAGGAGGAGGAGGAGGAGGAGGAGGAGGAGGAGGAGGATGAGGAGCACCGACATGGAGACGGTTTGTCTGTAGGTGAGTTGTCAAAGGTTTTTGTTCGCGGTCCAGGGATACATTCAGGAGCATTCTCGCAGTTCGTGGGCCAAACAAAACCCTGGGGACCGATTGGCGACATGATTCTTTGGATAGGAATGGCAAAGTGGGAGATCCATGGGCCGCTGGCTTTTAACATGAGCAACGGTAACCCGCTGCTGCTCACAGCCACGCCCTACGCGCAGGTAGAGACGTATGTTGTGCGAGATCTCACCAAGGCCTACGTGGGCCAGAGCATGTCTAGGCACCTGAGGGACTCGGATCATCCAAGGGCTCGTAGTATTTTGGAGCTTGGTTTGTGGACGGACTCTCCCACGACTTTTTGGGCCAGTAGAAAGCGTGAGCGTGGAGTTCAAAAAGCTGTTAAGGAGGTTTTCTGTAGGTCGTTCGTCACGGCCAAGAGGCTGTATGAATGGAAGTACGAGATCCCGCCTGTGTGCCCTTTTTGCAGGTGCCCTGAGGGACGAGCCGAGGACACTGTATGGCACCGCTGGTTCGTTTGCCCTGGCCTCTGCATCCACAGAGATGAGGCCTCGAGTGCTGATGTTGGTCGGTCGGCTGTCGAAGCTGGACTGGACGACCCTCTCGATTCACACCTGTGGACAGCCAAGCCAGAGGGCATCATGGACGCCTTTTGGGGGACGGTCAGGCCGGATATTGTGATAGGCCGGGGGAACCTCAAAAGTTCAGGTTCAAGAGCGGTGATAAATTTTATGCCGATGGGAGCTTCCATGCGCCCACCCACGTGCATGTTGCTCGTGCAGGGTGGGCCGTTATCCAGATTGACGATCGTGGGGTGCCGGAAAGAGCTATCGGTGGGAACCTCCCGGGATTTCTGCCTCAGGGCGCGGTGTTTGCCGAACACGATGCTTTGCTTCAGGCCCTGGAGCATTTGGAAGATCCAGAGGGTATCATGCCTTGCAGAGTGCATGTCGACTGCCAGGCTCTTTTTGCAGGCCACCGAGATCCGTGGGCAGCTACGAGTGGCAGAAGTCCGCTGGGCGAAGTCTGAAAAATATTCTTCTCGAGATCATATCCCTCCTGGTCCTTACATAAGGTAAAGTCCCACGTCGGTGATGATGTTGTGGGCCAGGCTCGTCTACATAAGCTGGACAACGATCTAGCGGATGAGTACGCGAATGATGGAGCTAAGCTACACACCGATATGGCCCAGAGCATAGTCAAGTACGAGGTCGCTCTGAATAGTTGGCAGGCCTTAGCTGCAGGCATGGATATATATATATATATATATATTGGATAGTTGTCTTAAAAACCAAGGGGCTTTTCGGTAAGTTGGAGCGGCCCCCCAGTTCCCGATGCCTTTAGTCCTTCCCAGTTTTCGTCAGCCGCACCGGGTGCGCTGGAATGGGTGCCGTTGGCGATGCATGGTTTGTGCTCGAGCCTTTGATTCTCAGAACCCGAGGGGGGCGTGTGCGGCCTTACCCCCCTCTACGCGTTCTCTAATTGAGGTCGACAACTCCAGGCCGCACATCCTGCACGTTGCTAACAGTATACAGTCTTCGTCGCCCGCGGTGATATGCTTAAGGAGTGGGACAGACTGTACTGGGCCCCTCGTCAGTTGTTGAAGCCCTGAGGTGAAGTATTTGCACAGCAGAGGCGACAGCTTCTGCGAGGCGACCTCCCCTGGTCGCGGGGCAGCAAGATCACGAGCCCATGGCCCCTCAGATTCGCGCCTCGTGAGGAGGCGGAGTGGTGGAGCAGGCTCGTGTGATAGTTTGTTTGTTTGATTTGTGTTGTTTCTCCCCCCTCGGTCCGAGGTCGTGGGGAGGGTCTTTCCTCTGCCCGCGGGCGTTCTGGGGCACCCAGGCACCTGGGCCTCTTCCCTGCACCAGTAAGGCGGGTCTGGCCTTCGGGCTCCGTTCTGTTGGTGTGGGGGGGGAGCTGGGCGATGGTGTTTGGGGGCCCCATGTGCAGCTCCTTTCGATCATGGATTGGTGGGAGTCGAGAGAGAGCCGCTGGAAAAGGAGGAGGAGGACTAGGAGGCGGAGGAGGAGGACTAGGAGAAGCCCCCCCCCCTATGACGTAACGTTCCCCCCGCCAAGTGCGCTCCTGGCACTGCCGCCGTGCGCATTGGGATCCGCGTAGGAATCCACATAGAAGTCTGGTCCGCGTCATCGTCGTCGTCGGTGTCGCAGTCGCCGTCGCCGTCGCCGTCGTCGTCATCGTCGTCGCCCTCGCGGCTTGTCGCTCGTCGCTCGTCGTCCGTCGCTCGTCGCTCATCGTCGTCGCGCGCGCGGACGCGGCTGGAGCCTATTTTTTATTCCGGGCCGATGACGGCAATCATCTGGGGGGAGTGGAGGGGGTCAATGACGTCACGTTTCGCGCCGGCGACGTCTGGGAATGCCTAGGAATGATGGAGGACGAGTAGCACCAGCATGTAGGTGGCGATTTGCACAACCACGCCTGTGTACACCACAGTGCTTGCGTGCACCGCAGCGCCTGTGTACACCACACCGCGTATGTACACCAGCGAGTGCAAGACAGCGTCAGTTTGTGCCACCGTGCTTGCGGGCGCAACAGCTCTTGTGAACGCCACAGCGCCTGCGTACACCACATCAGCCGTGTGCAACACGGCACCAGTGTACACCACAATGCCTGGATTGCAGTGCCTGTTTACACCACGGCGCCTTTGTGCATGCATCACAGCAACCGTGTTCAACACAGCGCCACTTTTGTATATAAATATATATATATATGATGTTAGAAGGAATATGTATGACAAAATGGAGCGCTTATGGATTCCACAGACAACAATATAAAGGAATCCTTATGGACAAATGAGCGCCGCTGGAATCTACGAGTCCTGCTGGGTCTACCCGCATGATCCTAAGTCCTCCCATCTGCGTCCAGGAGGCTCCAGCTAAGTTGGCCGCCCGATAACCAAGTGAACCGATTCAACAGACCATTCTGCGGTGCACGCTGAGATGCGCACGTGCGCTGTAGCGCCAACCCGCACGACAGCGGGTAAGGAGGAGGAGGAGGAGGAGGAGGAGGTGGAGGTGGAGGTGGAGGAGGAAGGAGGAGGGAAGAACCGTCGCATTCGATTGTCAGTTTTTTCCTGGCGTGGCGTTTAGTTGTCCGCAGCAGATCCTCACGTACATGCCCCTTCTGCTTGTCCTATGCACGCAGGCACTGTGGTGTACACCAGCGCTGCGTTGCACGCGGATGCTGCGGTGTAGACTTTCGCTGTGGCGTGCACAGGCGCTGCGGTGCACGCAAACATTGTGGTGTACACAGGGCGTTGTGTTGCACATGGTTGCTGCGGTGTATCCATGTGCACCGGCGCTGTAGTGCACGCCAGCACTGTGGTGTACACAGGCGCTGCGTTGCACACGGTTGTTGCGGTGTGCGCAGGCGCTGTGGTGTACACGCGCGCTGTGGTGCACGCGAGTGTTGTGGTGTACACAGGCGCAGTGGGACAGATCGCCACTTACATGCTGCTCGCGTCGTCGTCGTCCTCGCGGGCGCTGCTGTGGTGCCAGAGCCACACGGCGGGGGGGGCGTTACGTCATACCCCCTTTGCCCCCCCCTCCCCCCCTCATGACGCCCGTCATCGCCGAACATAAACAAACGCGCTCCAGGACGTCGCATGTCTGGAAATGCAAACGGTGTCAGTCAGAGCGCCGGATCATGTAGGATCCTGCAGAGCCAGGGTTGCATTGTCCCAGGCTTTGGTGCAGGATCCTGTTGGATCCTGCAACGCCCGATTGACCAGGGTTTGCATTGACCCGGGTCAGTAGATCCCCGAAGCCCTCTGGAACCCGCTGTTCTATCCCGTGGCGATATCCGGCGTCACTGGATGGGGGGAAGGGCGGGCGTGCAGGGGTGCAGGCCAGGTTGCAAGGAGATGGAGCCAGTTTCTGCATCCCCTGGCGACAACTCGTCGACGAAATCCGAACCCTACCCTCGCCGATCCACTTTTCGGGTCACTCGCTGGGCGGCGGCGGTGGTGATCGGAATCCGTCGAACACGTGGTGAGATCCGAACCCTACCCCTACCTCCGATCGGTTTAGGAGAACCGATGGTTGCTGGTGGTCGGCTTCGGATGTCGCCACCTAAAAAGAGGCGTGAGCAGGTGTCGGGGGTAATTAATGAGGGGGGGAGGGGGCCAGTCACGCATCGATTCTCGCAGGTGGGAATTCCTAGAATGGCCCCTAACGCGCTGGCGCCGTCGCGAATCGTGATGTGACCAGGGGGGGGAGGGGCCGGTCACGGGCGTTATCGCGAATGCTCCTCCTCCTTTTCCTCATCCTCTTGCTTCTCCTGCTCTTCCTGCTTCTCCTCCTCCTCCTCCTCCTCCTCGTTCTCCTCCTTCCCTTCTCCTGCTCCTCCTGCTTCTCCTCCTCCTCCTCCTCCTCCTCCTCCTCCTCCTCCTCCTCCTAGGTTCCGGTGCGGGCGGGCCCGGGTGGTGGAGGAGGTCCTCGCGCAGAGACAGCCCCGTCCCCAGATCCCCCCAGATCTCGGGCGGTGCGATTCTGTCACTCTGGGTGCTTTTCCTGATTTCGGCTTATGATGTCCCAACCTAATTTAGCCTTGATCGCCAGAAAGAATTTCGAGCACCGGGAAAAAGTACCGAAACTCGAGGGTTTTCACGTGTTGGGCCCTGGGAGACGTTGTTTCGACACTGTTTCGACACTTTTCCAGGTGCTCGAAATTATTTCTGAGATGTGGCCCTTAAGCACGATGGGCGCAACAGAAATTTCGGCCATCGGTGGCCGTGTTCGGGACCTGGGACTGTCAAGAACGGGTCTGGGGTGCAAGCCATTTTTGCTCCAGCCATTCTGGTTCAGGTCTGTCTTAAATAAGCATATGTGGATTGTTTTGCGACCGTATTCTTGCCGTGCCGCCACTGGCTGGCATCCTCTATTTGACAATGGTTTCAGCAGATGTTGATGTAATGGTTCCGACAATTCCAATACGGAGGGTCCCGGATAAGATTGGGCCTTCTCACTCGAAGGCGCACCGCACACGTTTACGCAAGTTGGTTGAGGCCAAGGCGCGGCAACGGGAGGCCGATGAGCTCGAGGACGTAAGTCAAATCTTGTCCGAGCTGACTGTGAAAGTGCAGAAGTTTCAGCATAGCCAACGGCCTCACAAAGACCAGACAATCCCTGCGTCGTGCCACATACCGTTCAGGAACAGCAACGTCGCAAGTCTTAGACGTGTCGGACATTCATGGTGGACGTGGCCGAAGATTGTGCGTCGTGTGTGCACCTCGCGAGACACGTGCGGGTGTTTGTCGGTGTGATGCCCCAGTTGTGGTAATAATGATTTGCATTGTCTGCGCACACGTTGAAATGTTGCATTTGGCCTACTTAGCATGATCTCATCGAATGGCATCTTCTTACGGAGCTGAGGATAGCGAGTACACGTGTCCAGATGAGAGTTTCACACGGCGTTGGATTGGCAGCGCGCAGAAGCATCTATATTACTTCAACAGCGGAGATGTCTGCTGTGTGTGCATAAGGTAGTAGATCATTTGAATGTGGTTCCTTGCAGTGCTCCTTGCTGTGTAGGTGACGAGGAAGGTGTTGTCCACGCGGAGTGCATTGTACAAAGTGGACTGGACACGTGCTCCTGCAGACCTTGCTTATTCGCGGGCGGGGCGCTGGAAAACAACGAGGCCAGTGACGATTAGGGCAGCCCAGTGGAGAGCTCTCCTGCGGATCCAGGTTCGAGCAGTGACGTTTCGGAGCGCGTGGAGTCTCATGGCGCTCTGCGGGTCGGCATGCCGCACGGCAGCAGCACAGTTTTGGGTCGTCGCAGCGCTCCAAGTCCGCGGAACTGCCCGCGGCGCCTGGGGACGCCCCCCCGCCCGCCTGCCCCAGGGCGCCAATGCGGGCGAGCTCGCGATAGTAGCGCGCGCCCCTGGCGATGGCTCCTCGGGCCCGAGGGCATCCTCGAGATCAGCACCGATTACGAGCTCCTTGTCGTGGGCTTTGCGGCAGGCCGTTGGAAGTGCGACTAGGGGCGGCCCTGCGCGAAGATCTGGCAGGAGTTCTACACAGCGGTGAAAGGCATCGGCGGACCACAGCTCTCGCAGGTCGCCGAGATCAACGGGCCAGGGGCGTGCGACGTTCCGCCCTTCGCCCCGGGGACGAGGCGGCGGCGGCGGCCCGGGCAGCGCTGGGCCGACGACGCGGCCGCGGCGGCGGCGGCGGCGGCGGCGCGAGCAGCGACCGAGGCGGCAGACGGCGAACCAGGGGGGGGGGCGACGCCGAGTCTGCAGGAGCTGCGGCAGCGGCAGCCGCAGCCGAGGAGGCCGCAGCGCTAGAGCAGCCGCGACCGCGATTATGGCGCTCCAGCATGGCGCAGAGCCGGAGATAGTGGACCATCGGCCACGGCATCGACGCGCTGGTCTGCTGCGCGGTCTGTTGGCGTTCCACCGGCGGGCCTCCGTGCGGCGGGCCTCCGTGCGGAGTGCACCAGGGGCGCGTCGGACCGCCGGGCCGTGGCGCTGTGCCGCCTGCCCCACGGGGCGCACCACCCCGCGCGCGGCCGTGCGACCAGAGGAGGCGCAACCAGGCCAGAGCCGCCCCACCTCGACGACGGGGGGCGGCCGAGGAGCAGGTCGCCGAGGCGCTGGCGCTGAGGCGCAAGGTGTGGCCATCAGCCGCGGCACCTTGCCGCGGGTGTTGCTGCTGTCGCGCCATCGCGGGTGCGGGCCAAAAGGGCTCCGCGTGCGGCTCGGGGCCTCGGCCTCTGCCGCGCGGGCGGCCTCGTGCGCCTCGGGCGTCTCTCCGCCCTGGGCGGCGCCCGCTCGGGCCCTGCGTTGGCCCGGGGGCGCTGCCGTGGGCACCGCGGGTCCTCGGGCCCCTGGTTGGGGTTGCGCAGCGGATGTCGGAGGCTGGGGGGGTGAGATCGCAGTGGAACGGTCACCACCCACCAACCCACCCCAACCCAACCCGAAAGTCTCAATTTGCCCTCCGTTTCCAGTGGGGGGGGGGGGGTCGGGGACCATCGAGAAAACACGTATGGAACCCGGACCCCCCCCAACCCGAAATTCGGCTCTTCGGGTTGGGTTGGGGTGGTCTGGTAGGCAGTCAAACGGAGACCCCCGACCGGGAAATCGTTCCGTTTCGTTCGTGTCCTGCGTGCGGGCGAGGCGAAGTTGCGCGGGCGCGCGAGAGGAGCGAATCCGCCGCTGCTAACGCGAAGTCAAGACAAATGATTCTCCCCCATCCGTCCGTCCGTCCGGCGGTGGCCCTAGCGGTGTCCCGTGGTGCCCCGTGGTGTGCCGTGGTGTCCGCCGTTGCTAGGGCGAAGTCAAGACAAATGATTATCCTCCGTGCGTCCCCCGTCCGTTCGCCCGTCCGGCGATGGCTCGCGGTGTCCCGCGGTGTCCCGTGGTGTCCCGTGGTGTCCCGTTGAGTGAGATCGATTGTGAGATCGATATTGATATCGATACTGAGATCGATGTGGTGCCCCGAGGTGTCCTGTGGTGTCCCAAAAAGTGAGATCGACTGTGAGATCGATAGTGAGATCGACAGGTGTCCCGTGGTGTCCCGTGGTGTCTCGTTGAGTGAGATCGATAGTGAGATCGATGTGGTGCCCCGAGGCGTCCCGTGGTGTCCCCTGGTATCCAAAAAGGTGAGATCAGTGAGATCGATAGTGAGATCGACAGATGTCCCGTGGTGTCCCGTGGTGTCCCGTTGAGTGAGATCGATAGTGAGATCGATACTGAGATCGATGTGGTGCCCCGATGTGCCCCGTGGTGTCCCGTGGTGTCTTAATTATGGTGTCGCACCGAGTGAGACCGATAGTGGGACCGACAGTGAGATCAAGAGGTGTCCCGCGGTGTCCCGTGGTGTCCCGTGGTGGCCCGTGGTGTCTCGTGGTGTCCCGTGGTGTCCCGTTGAGTGAGATCGATAGTGAGATCGACAAGTGTCCCGTGGTGTCCCGTGGTGTCCCGTTGAGTGAGATCGACAGTAAGATCGATTGAGTCAGATGCTGGTTCCCCCCTCTTCCCCCCCACATAACCTCCTTACCACCCGAAGGGTGGTTGTATAGGTATATCCAGTTACGGCAGTGTTGCAATACCCTTAATACTCTTGTAGTTCAGCACCCAGTCAATGACATAACCATCGTGTTCTTCTTCACCCTCGTCATATTCATTATCGTCCTCACCATCATCATTGCCATCATCATCTTTATCGTCATCATCGTCATCATCATCATCATCATCATCATCATCATCATCATCACCATCATCATCATCATCATCATCATCTTCATCATAATCATTTTCGGTGTTACCGCGCCGATGCCGCCAATGGAGGAGGAGGAGGACGAAGAGGAGGAGGAGGAGGAGGAGGAGGAGGAGGAGGAGGAGGAGGAGTGTGAGGAGGAGGGGGAAAGACGTGGCCAGGGGGACCTTCAATCAATTCAGATCATCTTGTCGCGCTTGGCCATGAAGTGGAGCTTGTGGCGGTCATTGACAATTACCATCATTATTTTGTTCATCATCCTTATTTTCACCACCGTTATAATCCTTATCCTCTTTTCTCTCCGCTCCCTCTCCGCTGGAATCACCACCTGGCCACCGCCAGACAACCACGAGGGTTGCTTTTCGCGTCTGCTCCTCCTCTTCCTTCCTTCTCCTTTTCTGTCTTCCCCCCTCGGTCCGGGGCGGCCCGTGTTTTTTTTTCTCGGGTTCCTTGCCCAGATTCGCACACTTAGATATTCGCGCTTGCAGTGAGCCTTCGGCGCTTTCAAATGCCTGGGGATGGTGCTTGTCTGCGACATTCAAGTGGGGTCCCGTCCCAGACGACACGTTTGTGCGGGAATCCGTATCGTTCGGGCGGTGTATCTATACTTCATGTGTTATCGCTCGCGTGCACGTGCCCGGGGCTTGGACTCTGGCATATAATTTGTCTTCAGTGTCTTCGAACCTCGGTGGCGCGCAATGGCTCGCCTAGTGCAGGTTGGCCCGTGCGGTGCTCCTTGTCTTCTGATGTTTTCCTCCTCCTCCTCCTCCTCCTCCTCCTCCTCTGTCCTCCTCCTCCTCTTTCCTCCTCCTTTCGCCTCCTCTGTCCTCCTCTGCGAGCCTGCCACACGCTGCTCTTCGTAAAACGTGGAAGGTCATCCCTACCAGGTGCGCACAGGCCGCCCGAAGGTTCGCCTGGGTCCAGAAGATGGTTCGTGACCCCAAGGCCCACGCTCAGGTCATCGCGGCTCTTTGGGGGTCCCTGGATACTGGCCCGCTTGCCCTCGATTCTCGTGGACACTTCCCTCGACAAACCCCACCTCTTGCGCACCAAGTAGAGATCGATCTATGGAGTTTCGCTGGTACTAGTGGGGCGGAGGATTTCTATGAGAGGTGGAGGGGATGGGACTATTCATGCGTTGCTCTTTTTCATAACGACGAGGTGCGGGACGCACGGCTCACGGTGGACCCCTCGATTCTGAAGGCAGCCATCCTTACAGAGGGAGAGACTGCATATTTTCGCCGCCTTCGGGGGGCAGCTCGGGCAATGGAACATCCGGCGGAGGAGAGTCTCACCGCATTTGTGTGCACGCTGGCGGATGAGCGCGGACCGATATGCTCACACACATTTTCTTCCCATGGATCCCTCACATTACAACGTATCAGTCTCGAGGAGGTGAACGCGGCTGGCGTAACCCACTATTCACATGTGTCATTTGCAATATGTGCCCATGGTGTAGGCAAGCATTCTCGACAAAAGACAGCATTCGCCAGCATGTCCGAACAGCGTGGGGTAGTCGAGTTTACCGAATGCGTCGAATTTCGTTCCGATGGCTTCGTATACCCCCTAGTGGACATCGATGCCTGTACTGCGATATCATACCTGTCACGATTGACGAGTAGAAGGATCACGCCATTTCGCACCATCGTCCTCGCCCTCCCTGCTTGCTGCAGTTTTTCCTCGGGCGCGAGGTGAAGGGCCACAGTGGCCCTCAGACGGGAGTCCCAGCGAGTCGTGACTGCGATGTTCCCTGCCGAGGGCGGAGCCAACGCGCCAGGGGTGCTGGCCCAGCAGCGTGGAGAGTGAAGGCCGAGAACGACGGCCAGCACGCCAAGCCCGACCTCGGCTTCAAGGGCGCCCAGAAGGCTCTGCAGGCATTGCTGCTGAAGTTCCTACTCCAGCTTGGCCAATCCAAGCGCAACATCGAGGGCGTAGTGCTCGACTGCCTGATCGTCGACGGCACCAGTCAGGAGGACATACAAACGGGCGCCCAAGGATTGAAATACAACGAAGCCGTCACCGCACCGGGCAAAGGCCATGCGCACGGCCCCCCACACTTGTGGGTGTCCCGCGGCCTCCTCATGGCACTACTTCACCGCAAAGACGTGGTAGGAACCGCCAGCGCCAAGAAGATCGTGGAGATGAAGCAGGTCATAGAGACTTGGAACATGGCCAAGCGGTGCGACATGATCAAATCCTGCAAGATGGACCGCTGCTACGACGTCAACAAGCGCAAACTCATGCTCAACATGCACCCACATATTCGTTAGTGCATCATCGACTTTATGGTTCAGACGGGGGCGGAGTGGAAGCAGGGGTGTGCGCCAGTCAGCCGCATGGAGCGCGAGCTGCAGGATTCGCTGGGAGTTCTCATGAAAGAGTAAGTCGGCTTCTTCATGCTGCCACGCGCCCACTCAGTCCCCCAAGTGCGACGCAAACAGATGGCAAGAAGGGTACAGTAGAAGAGCAGGGAATTGGCGACAATTGTTTGGTAAAGAGCTATGGAGCGACGGAAGCGGCCCTTCAGCTTCCGGATGAGACCTCGGCTCGGACTTCTCTTGTGGATACGGGTGTTACAGTTCCGAGCCCAACCACGACTGCTCCAAGGACTTCGACGACGGCTGCGAGACCGTTTTCTCCTCCGGCTCCGAGGCCGACGACTTTGGGGCCACCCCCGCTGGCGCCGAGACCGACGGCATCGACACTTCCCACCTCGACCCCAAGGCCGCCTCGTGCTTCGAGATCTAGACCCCCCGAATCTTTTGAGTGGACAGGTAGACGTTAGCAGGCCCCAGATTCAGTATGTGTCAGAGAATACTTAGAAAATCGCCAGATTTTCCCCGGGAGTCCCAGCTTTGAGATTATTCATTGTGCTCACAAAGTTCGACTCGCGAGGGATAAATCCGAGCGAAAAATAGACATTTTCCCCCGTCCTCCGAGTCTTCCTGCGGTCCTGGGGCCGTGGTTCGTCCCCCTTCTTTGTCGCGCCGTCCTCCCTACTCTTCGTTGGGCCCCGTCTTGGGTAACGCGTGCCCCTGGCGGGCCTCGGGGCGGGACGCTAGCTTTCGGTGATGTTCCGAGAGTCCACCTCGACCCGCTTTCAGGTCCCCTGTGGAATTTCCTCCGCACCTAGACTAAATCGCGGTAGTTTAGTCGACCAGAGGTTCTTCGGAACGCCTGTCCTGTCCTCTGTCCTCCTCCCCCCGCGTTTTGGGCGACACGCCGGCGTCCACCCAGCAATTCTTCTGTTTTGGCGTTGTCCCTGTAGGGTCGTCCACAGGTGCCGCCGCAGCCGTTCTGCGCGGACTTTGTTGGCGCCGTCCGAGGCCCTGGGAGCTCGCGGGCCTCTTGAGATGTCAATGGGCAAAACAAATCCTCCTCATCATCATCCTCATCATCATCAGCAGCCGCATCATCATCATCATCATCATCATCATCAGCATCATCAACATCATCATCATCATCCGCGCGGTGGCGGGGAGGAGTCCGTCTCGATGGAAGATTCGGGAGCCTCTGACATCGAACTCCTTGGGGATGCTGCCGCGCCGGGCGGTGGCGCCGGCGCTGGCGCTGGGGGGGTCCAGGCGTCCGCCCTTTTCGCCATGAGAAGTGAGTGTGGTTCCTCCTCCATCCTTCTCGTTCTCCCTTCCCCTTCTTCCTCATCCTCCCGATGCCCCTCCTTCCCCTTCTTTCCTCTTCCTCCTCCCCCTTTTTCCTTCCTTCCTCTTCTCCTCCCCCCCGTTATCCTCCAGTCGTCGTCCGTATAAAGAACTCCTCCCTGTCACACCCCGACACAGGTCGATAGGGCGGGCTGGGCGTTTCGTTTGAGACCTTCCACCAATAAGTGAAGTTGAAGTTTGAAAATTTGCAAGAGTTTTGCGGATCCAGGGCGGGTGGTCGTGAACATGGGGTTCTAGTTTTATCGCCGCGCGCATTCGTTTTGAACTGTTACAAGAGCTTCACGGATGGAGGGCGGCTCGTTTTCAAAATGTGATTTTCGCCTTGGCGCCGCGCGCATTCCTCGTAACAGTACAACAGTTTCAAGTTTTCGGATGGCTGACGTCCCAAAAGTGCTGTTCTGGCACGATTCAGGGCCGACTGGCATTGATTCGCGGCGTTGAAGGCGCTGTGACACGGTTGAATGTTGAATGCTGGTTGTCATCCACCGGAGTTCGAATAATTTCTATAGGAGTTTTTGAAGAGAGAATATCGAGAGTGGGTTTATAGCAACATCGTTGATGAGCCTTTGGTTTGCATTGGTCCGCCTTCTCGGGGGGCCAGGAGGAGGAGGAGGAACATAAGGGAGGGGAGGAGGTGGAGGAAGAGGAAGTGCAGGATCACCCTGCTGATACGGTTGAGGGCTCGCAAGATGCGCAGTGGAGGGAAAAGTACTGGGCAGCCAGGGCACGGGCCTTGGGTTTTCACGCGCAAGCGCGGTTGCAAGTTGTTGAATTTTGCAGCAGCGGGCCCCTGGAAGAGTTTTGGCCTAGGCCCACGGACACAAGTTGGATACTTAGTCGCGTTCATAGATTGCAGGCACGTCGCTGCGACCGCTTCCCAGGCTTTTGTGGAGCAAGGGAAAGATTGGCCCGAATCCGAGGTCCGGCTTCCACCCGCAAGGCTGCCATGCCACAGGCTGAGGCAAGTCCTTGCTATCTCCCATCTGCTCGTAAGCGACGGAACCGAGGGATCCGAGGCTCCGAAAACTTTGGAGCACCTGTTTTTTTGCAGTTGTCGGCCTTCTGGAGCCTTCGATGGGCCCTGGGACCGTCAAGAAACGACTCAGGATGCAAACCAGGCCCCTGGGAAGTTGTCCTGACCTTTGGTCGGGGGTGGACAGAACCCCCAACAGTGACACGTCGATTAGTGAATTGTCCGTTTTCGGTTCTCGAGAGGGCGCCGTGGCCGTTATTTTTCCCGGAAAGGGCGGGGGCCCAGGGTTCTCTTTTAGTAGGTAAACCTGTCCCCCGGTGCCAACTTGAGGGAGGCCGGCGAATTTTTTCCCTGATAAATAACGAGGTCGAAGGAGGCCGGCGAATTAAAATTTGAGGATGTCTCGAGCGAAACGCTTGTTTTTGAAATCCCGATCGATAAATCACAGGGTGCGGGCCACTTTTTCGTGTGTTGAGGATGTCTCGAGCGAAACGCTTGCTCCGCAGAGTTTGCCGAGGATGTCTCGAGCGAAACGCTTGTTTTGCAGAGCCGACCGCGACGCGGGAAAAAAAAGCGCCCCGCGCGAAGGAATTTCGATGATGTCTCGACTAATTCCTTTGTTTTTGTACGATTTCCTGGAATTTTGGCAGGATGTCTCGAGCGAAATGCACGACCCCACCCTAGCACGACCATACCCCAGCACGACCACACCCCAGCACGACCAGACCCCAGCACGACCCCACCCCAGCACGACCCACCCCAGCACGACCATACCCCAGCACGACCACACCCCAGCACGACCCGACCCCAGCACGACCCTACCCCAGCAAGACTACACCCCAGCACGACCACACCCCAGCACGACCTCACCACAGCACGACCACACCCCAGCACGACCACGCCCCAGCACGACCACGCCCCAGCACGACCACGCCCCAGCACCAGCACGACCACCCCCCAAGCACGACCCGACCCCCCAGCACGACCACCACCCCAGCACGACCACACCCCAGCACGACCCCACCCCAGCACGACCCCACCCTAGCACGAACACACCCCAGCACGATCACACCCCAGAACGACCACACCCCAGCACGACCCCACCCCAGCACGACCTTACCACAGCACGACCACACCCCAGCACGACCACGCCCCAGCACGACCACGCCCCAGCACGACCACGCCCCAGCACGACCACACCCCAGCACGACCTCACCACAGCACGACCACACCCCAGCACGACCACGCCCCAGCACGACCACGCCCCAGCACGACCACGCCCCAGCACAACCAAAAAAAACCGGGGGGGGGGGGGGAAAAACCAACCCCCCCAGCACGACCAAACCCCAGCACGACCACCCCCGCACGACCACACCCAGCACGCACTCCAGCACCCCAGCACGACCACGCCCCAGCACGACCACCCCGCCTTGGTTGAGTGGTTGCCTGTCGTCGTGGAATGTTTCGTGGGGTGTCTCGTGGAATGTTTCGCGGGGTGTCTCCTGGAATGTTTCGTGAGGTGTCTCGCGGAATGTTTCGTGAGGTGTCTCGTGGGATGTTTCGTGAGGTGTCTCGTGGGAAGTTTCGTGAGGTGTTGCCCCGTTGGGTATCGTGAAAACGTGCCCATGCTCCACATGTCTATATCCCTTTCCGGGTTCGTGGGTCCATCATGTTCAGGCCTGCGCCCGCCAGGTTTGGGCCTCAGGTCGTTCTCACTAAACCACGTTTTACTAAAGGGAGGTCTGTCCATCCCCGTTTTGGGGGTCCGCGCATCGAGCAAACTAGAGCGCCGGAGGCCTGTGGAGAAAACGGGGTCGACGACGTTGACATCCGCGCGTGGGCTTCCCGCGCGGGGTCGGGCGTGGACGCCCGCGTCTCCCCGCAGTGGCCCGCGCCTTCTAGGAAGCAGCCTCCTTCCGAGAAACTTCTCCCCCTCGCCCGACCCCCCGACGAAGGCATCTACTCCAGATTTCGTAATAAAGGGAGGGGGGTCTCATTTCGGGGGGGGTCTCTTCCAGGCTATCTTGGAGGGCCTGGGGGGTCTGGGGACGACGTTTTGGAGGGTTCTCCCACGGGGGGGGGTCTGAAATGGCTTGTCTTGGAGGGTCCAGACCCCCTCCTTTTTATTACGAGATCTGGAGTATACACCACCACCGTGCCAGGCCCTGGCCTGGCACGGTGGTGGTGTATGGATGCTTTCTGCGTATACCCCCTCTGTGCGCGCCGCCAAACGGGCGTTCCCCAGGATCCGCGCGCTGGATTTTATTTCACGCCCGGCGTATTCGTCCTGTGTCGGGCCATGGGGCTTTCACAAATCGATGCGGCTCGAACGATGTTGCAGACAGGCCAGGTCTAGGGCCCCAGTCGTGACCTTTCGCGATGTCGCCTTTTATCGCGGCGTCAGATCTCAGGAAGGTGTGCCTTTCTCGGAAGGCTCGGAAGACCTCGGGCTTTCTGAGAAATCTTCTCCCTTCGCCGAAGACGCAGACAACTTCTCAGAAGGCCGGAAGGCGGGAGCAAAAGAAGGCACACGTGCATGAGTCGACCTTGGTCTCGAGAGTTCGCCTTGCGCGAACGCTCGCATCACGCGGCCGGTCCCGCGGACTGCGGGGCCGTGCTCACGTGCGCGGTCGGGCGCGTCCGTCGTTTGTGGGCTCCCTGGGACTCCGCACCCCCGCCCCCCCTCCCACGCCCACCCCCCCGGCGGCCCGCTCCGCCGCAGGCCGCCAGCCGCGGCGCGTCGCCGGCGGCCCCGCGCGGCGGCGGCGCGGCGGAGGACGGGGGCGGGCCCCCTCGCCAGGAGTGGGGCCCCGCCCGCGGGGGGAGCGGCTCGGCGTCGCTCGGGCGGCTGCGTCTGCGCTCGGCGAGGGCCCCCGAGGAGCATGTCGGGTCATGTCTTGCGAGACATACACGCGCCAAACCGAACGCTGCACGGGGAGTGGGCGTCCGAGCGATGGTCAGGTGGGTTGGGGGGCAACGCTGGAGGGTCAGGTTTTGGAGCGGAGTCCGCCTGGGAGAGGTGGGTTGGGGGGGCAACGCTGGAGGGTCACGTTGTTAAGGGTGGGGGGGGGCACTCCGTGGAGTTTCGTTGACTCGCGGGCAGAGGGCGAGACGCCTCCGGCGCCCCAGCACGTTGCTGATTTAGTCGGGCACCTTGGGCAGTTGCGCGATGCGGCAAGCAAGCGAACACAGCCTCGCTGCCCGAAGCGCAGCGCAGGTCAGGCTGGGGAGTCAGGCCGGAGTAACCAGGTGGGTGGAATATCAGTGCTGTCATCTTCCGTTGGCCGTTTTGGCCCAGTATATTGTTTGCTTGGCGTGGGGGTGCACAACCGCCTAGAAGTGGATCCCAAGACCACCGGCAGACGGCACAGCATCTTTCACACGTGTGTGCGAGTGATGATCGTAGCGATGGTGGTGGCGATGACGTCGATGACGACGGCAAGGTCATTGACGGCGCCGATTTTGGTAACGCTGATGACAATGATGATGTCCATGTGTCGAGTTGTGATGGCGGCACTTGTGGCGATTGCCGATGACGGTGACGTGATGCGGTGGCGTTGATAAGGGTGAGGTTGAAGAAGTGCTCGCGCGGAAACCCAAGAACTTTTTCGATTTGTTTGTTGAGAAGTATGGGATGTTTGTCATAATACGTGTTCGACGAACTCTAATCTGAAGTGCTTTGGAAATTTGGAAACATTTCGACACGCTCGCGTGGCGGCGCCGGCGAGTGGCCCGCATGGTATCACTTAATACGGATTGGTCCACTGGACGCATGCTGCTTCAACGCGGACGCACCGCGTTGTGTAATCAAAATGCGGGTTGGGGGCGAGATTGCTAAAAGCGCGCGGGCAGATGTTTTGCATGTCTTGTGGTGAGGAGGGGGCCTTCCACTACTTTGTGGTGAAATTATTGCAGACCGTGTGTGTGTGTGTGTGTGTTTGATGTGATTTCGAGATGTGCGAGCGCGTTGGAATTTTGTGCCAATTCCTGGTCCAGATGACTGAAACATCTTTTCAAGTTTTGCGATAAGTAATTGCTTGCATGGTATAACATGGCAGATGTGAGGGGGGCGATCACAGTTTGGTTGGGATGGCATGAGTTCTTGGTAGATGAGCGGCGAGGCATGATCAGACGTAATGCGCTTTGCCCCAAGGGGTGCCGATAAGTCCAGGTGTGTGTAGGGTGGTAGAGTATGTTCTTTTTCCCGGAAAGGGCGGGGGCCCAGGGTTCTCTTTTCCCCGGAAAGGGCATCGGCCCAGGGTTCTCTTTTAGTAGGTAAACCTGTCCCCCGGTGCCTGCTTGAGGGAGGCCGGCGAATAGCGAAATTTTTTTTCCCTGACTAAATAACGAGGTCTCGAGGAGGCCGTGCCGCTGCGAATAAAAATTTGAGGATGTCTCGAGCGAAAACGCTTGTTTTTCAGAATTTGTTGAGGATGTCTCGAGCGAAACGCTGGTTTTGCAGAGTGGGGGGGGGATGTCTCGATGCGAAACGCTTGACCTCCGCAGAGTTTGCCGAGATGTCTCGAGCGAAAAAACGCTGTGGTTTTGGCAGAGCCGACCGCCCGCGACGCGGAAAAAAGCGTCCCCACGCGCGAAGGATTTCGATGATGTCTCGGACTAATTCCTTTGTTTTTGTACGATTTCCTGATTTGGCAGGGAATGACGACCACACCCCAGCACGACCACGCCCCAGACGACCACGCCCCAGCACGACCACGCCCCAGCACGACCACGCCCCAGCACGACCACCCCCCAGCACGACCACCCCCCGAGCACGACCACCCCCCGGCACGACCACCCCCCAGCACGACCACACCCCAGCACGACCACACCCCAGCACGACCACACCCCAGCACGACCACACCCCAGCACGACCACACCCCAGCACGACCACACCCCAGCACGACCCGATCGATAAATCACAGGGTGCGGAGCACCCCAGCACGAACCCTCCCCAGCACGACCCCACCCCAGCACGACCCCACCCCAGCACGACCACGCCCCAGCATGACCACACCCCAGCACGACCACACCCCCAGCCCACGACCACTCCCAGCACGACCCCACCCCAACTCGACCACCCTAGCAAGACCACACCCAGCACGGACCACCACCCCGCACGACCCCAACCCAGCCACGATCACACCCCCAGCAAGACCCCCACACCCCACCCCAGCAAGTACCACACCCCAGCACGACCGCCACCCCAGCACGACCTCACCACAGCACGACCACACCCCAGCACGACCACGCCCCAGCACGACCACGCCCCAGCACGACCACGCCCCAGCACGACCACCCCTCAGCACGACCACCCCCCAAGCACGACCACCCCCCAGCACGACCACCCCCCAGCACGACCACACCCCAGCACGACCACACCCCAGCACGACCACTCCCCAGCACGACCACACCGCCTTGGTTGAGTGGTTGCCTGTCGTCGTGGAATGTGTCGTGGGGTGTCTCGTGGAATGTTTCGCGGGGTGTCTCGTGAAATGTTTCGTGAGGTGTCTCGTGGACTGTTTCGTTGAGTGTCTGGTGGGCTGTTTCGTGAGGTGTCTCGTGGGATGTTTCGTGAGGTGTTGCCCCAGTTGGGTTATCCATGAAAAACGTGTCATGCTCACACATGTCTATATCCTTTCCGGGTTTCGTGGGTCCATTCACGTAGTAGTAACCTGTCCCCCCGGTTGCCAACTAGGAGGCCGGCGGCCGAAAATTGTTCCTGATAAAAGAAACGAGGTCGAAGGAGGCCGGCGGCGAATTAAAATTTGAGGAATTGTCTCTGAGCGAAAAACGCTTGTTTTTTGAAATCCCGATCGATAAATCCACAGGGTGCAGGCCCACTTTTTGTCCGGAAAAGGGCGGTGGCCCAAGGGTTCTCTTTAGTAGGTAAACCTGTCCCCCGGTGCCAACTTGAGGGAGGCCGGCGAATTTTTTCCCTGATAAATAACAAGGTCGAAGGAGGCCGGCGAATAAAATTTGAGGATGTCTCGAGCGAAACGCTTGTTTTTGAAATCCCGATCGATAAATCACAGGGTGCGGGCCACTTTTTCGTGTGTTGAGGATGTCTCGAGCGAAACGCTTGCTCCGCAGAGTTTGCCGAGGATGTCTCGAGCGAAACGCCTGTTTTGCAGAGCCGACCGCGACGCGGAAAAGCGCCCCGCGCGAAGGAATTTCGATGATGTTTCGACTAATTTGGTTGTTTTTGTACGATTTCCTGGAATTTTGGCGGATCAGGATGTTCGAGCGAAAGATGCGAAAGGCACACGACCCCACCCTAGCACGACAATACCCCAGCACGACCACACCCCAGCACGAACAGACCCCAGCACGACCCCACCCCAGCACGACCCCACCCCAGCACGACCATACCCCAGCACGACCACACCCCAGCACGACCCGACCCCAGCACGACCCTACCCCAGCAAGACCCCACCCCAGCACGACCACACCCCAGCACGACCTCACCACAGCACGACCACACCCCAGCACGACCACGCCCCAGCACGACCACGCCCCAGCACGACCAGGCCCCAGCACGACCACCCCCCAGCACGACCACCACCCCAGCACGACCACCCCCCAGCACGACCACCCCCCAGCACGACCACACCCCAGCACGACCACTCCCCAGCACGACCACACCCCAGCACGACCACACCCCAGCACGACCACACCCCAGCACGACCCGATCGATAAATCACAGGGTGCGGAGCACCCCAGCACGAACCCTCCCCAGCACGACCCCACCCCAGCACGACCCCACCCCAGCACGACCACGCCCCAGCATGACCACACCCCAGCACGACCACACCCCAGCACGACCACTCCCCAGCACGACCCCACCCCAGCACGACCCCACCCTAGCACGACCACACCCCAGCACGACCACACCCCAGCACGACCCCACCCCAGCATGACCACACCCCAGCACGACCCCACCCCAGCAAGACCACACCCCAGCACGACCACACCCCAGCACGACCTTACCACAGCACGACCACACCCCAGCACGACCACGCCCCAGCACGACCACGCCCTAGCACGACCACGCCCCAGCACGACCACGCCCCAGCACGACCACGCCCCAGCACGACCACGCCCCAGCACAACCACCCCCCAGCACGACCACCCCCCCAGCACGACCACCCCCCAGCACGACCACCCCCCAGCACGACCACACCCCAGCACGACCACTCCCCAGCACGACCACACCGCCTTGGTTGAGTGGTTGCCTGTCGTCGTGGAATGTTTCGTGGGGTGTCTCGTGGAATGTTTCGCGGGGTGTCTCGTGGAATGTTTCGTGAGGTGTCTCGCGGAATGTTTCGTGAGGTGTCTCGTGGGATGTTTCGTGAGGTGTCTCGTGGGATGTTTCGTGAGGTGTTGCCCCGTTGGGTATCGTGAAAACGTGCCCATGCTCCACATGTCTATATCCCTTTCCGGGTTCGTGGGTCCATCATGTCGTGTGTTGAGGATGTCTCGAGCGAAACGCTTGCTCCGCAGAGTTTGCCGAGGATGTCTCGAGCGAAACGCTTGTTTTGCAGAGCCGACCGCGACGCGGAAAAGCGCCCCGCGCGAAGGAATTTCGATGATGTCTCGACTAATTCCTTTGTTTTTGTACGATTTCCTGGAATTTTGGCAGGATGTCTCGAGCGAAATGCACGACCCCACCCTAGCACGACCATACCCCAGCACGACCACCAGCACACCAGACCCCAGCACGACCCCACCCCAGCACGACCCCACCCCAGCACGACCATACCCCAGCACGACCACACCCCAGCACGACCCGACCCCAGCACGACCCTACCCCAGCAAGACCCACCCCAGCACGACCAGCACGACACCACAGCACGAGCACGACCACGCCCCAGCACGACCAGCAGCACGACCTCACCACAGCACGACCACACCCCAGCACGACCACGCCCCAGCACGACCACGCCCCAGCACGACCACGCCCCAGCACGACCACCCCCCAGCACGACCACCCCCCCAGCACGACCACCCCCCAGCACGACCACACCCCAGCACGACCACACCCCAGCACGACCACACCCCAGCACGACCACACCCCAGCACGACCCCACCCCAGCACGACCCCACCCCAGCACGACCCCACCCTAGCAAGACCACACCCCAGCACGACCACACCCCAGCACGACCTCACCACAGCACGACCACACCCCAGCACGACCACGCCCCAGCACGACCACGCCCCAGCACGACCACGCCCCAGCACAACCACCCCCCAGCACGACCACCCCCCCAGCACGACCACACCCCAGCACGACCACCCCCCAGCACGACCACACCCCAGCACGACCACTCCCCAGCACGACCACACCGCCTTGGTTGAGTGGTTGCCTGTCGTCGTGGAATGTTTCGTGGGGTGTCTCGTGGAATGTTTCGCGGGGTGTCTCCTGGAATGTTTCGTGAGGTGTCTCGCGGAATGTTTCGTGAGGTGTCTCGTGGGATGTTTCGTGAGGTGTCTCGTGGGATGTTTCGTGAGGTGTTGCCCCGTTGGGTATCGTGAAAACGTGCCCATGCTCCACATGTCTATATCCCTTTCCGGGTTCGTGGGTCCATCATGTTTCGAAAACTTGCCGTGGTACAAGTCGAGTTGTGTAAATTGTGCGATGCAAGCTATGTGGGGCAAGTTGTGTGGTGCAATCGATGTGGTGCAAGCCACGTGGCGCAAGCCATGAGTTGTGGCGACGGACGGGGACGGGGGCTGGTGGGCCCGCAGACGGGCCTTGAATTTGGAAGCATGGGGCGGTGACCGACGGGAACGGGTCCGCCTGGCCCGCACGCGGGCCCAGTTCTTCAGAAGGGAACGGAGGATCAAGCATTGTATGAGGAATGGGTGTTGCTTCTTAAAGGCCTTGTGCGCGTCCTCCAGAGGGGCCTTCTTGGGGCGTGCTGAGGGCCTCCTTAGACCGTATTGAGCTCGAGGCCATCTGGGACAGTGTCTCGGCGGTGCGTCGAGGGGGGAAGTGACAGGGGACATGTCTTCTCAGAAGCCAGCCTGGCTTCCAAAAAAGACGTAGATTGTTTCTCGGAAGACAGCAGGCCATCTGAGCCTTCTGAGACGGCCCACCCCTCTGCCTTCCACGCTCTGCGCGCAGTCGAGTATTGGGATTCCTTGGGCCGTATCGGGGCTCGTTGGTCCATCTCTAGACTGATGAGGGCCGTCTTGCAGCCTTCTCAGGGCCGTCCTTGATTGTCTTGGAGCCGCCTGCAGGCCGGACAGGGGGTTAGGAGAGCAAGACCACGGGTGCGATTTTGAGGCCTACCAGGGCAGGCAGTACAGCACGCATCAAGCGTGCCATTGGCATGGTTGCGGATTAGGAGGACGAGGATGGAGGAAAAGGGAGGAGTGCCCCTTCCTCCCCTCCTCCTCCGCCTCATCCACATCCTTCTGCTCGTGCTATCCGAGTTGCAGCACCAGTTGCAGGAGCAGGCCTCGATGTTCTTCCAGGCGGGGAGCTGTTGTTTGCTCCCGTATCCCTCAGCCCCCAGGTATTCGCACGGCCGACCCGCCTTGCCCTGGATGTGCTGGCGGTCGAGCGGGAGCGGCAGTGACCGCGCCTACAGCCGGCCCGGATGAGCAGGTCGACCTTGCCAAATCAAGGCAACCCTTGTGTCCTGCGTCTCGCGACTCCCACATTTCTGTGGCAACGTGGCCCTCGGAAGGGCCTTGTGTTCGCGCGCGCGTCCTCCCCAATCTCCCTCTTCCCCTCCTAGAAGGGCAGAGGTCGCGCAGAGGCGAGTTGAGAACTGCTCGACCGAGAGGTCGACCGCCTTCCGAATCCAACTTAAATAACACGGCGAGAACCGTACCTTAAAAACACAAAACAAAAATCTCCCTCTTCCCCTCCTCCCGGCCCGCCTCCCCCGCCCCTCCCTGGCCGAGAGGACGTGGACGAGCTGGAGTCCATCGCGGAGGACGTCAGCGTCCACAGCTCGATCGAAGGCGGGGCGGGCGGGAGGCCGGAGGGAGCGCTCGGGACGGAGGAGGAGAAGGCAGGTCGGCGACTACAAAGGGTGTGGTTACGCCGGGGTGTGGTTTGCGGTCGGCACCGTTGGGGCCGGGGGGGCACGACACTGTCCTCGTGGGGCCTCCTCGGGGCGCGGGAGAAACCTATCGAGGTCCCCGCGCGCCCCCTAGGGTGCCCCTCAGTGTGTTCCTCAGGGTGCCGGTTGCAAACCACACCCTTTGCAAACCACACCTTTTGGAGTCGCCGAGGCAGGGGGGGAGGGCCAGAGGAGGAGAAGCACCAGAGCAGGGGCGGGGAAGACACGGACGGAGGTCCCCTCGGGCGGTGCGCCTTGCCGGTGCGGACCCCCCGGGTGCTCGTCAGCAACTTCTGCCAGCGTGCCTTCCAGGCGGGCCCTGCCGGCCCGGAGATCCGACGCAAACATCGGGGCGGCCGTGTTGGGTCATTGTCGGCCTCCCGGGGCCTTCCACGGGCCGAGAGCCTTCAGGAAACGAGTCAGGACGAAAGCCTGCCTTAGGGATGTGGTCCAGACCTCCAGGGGCCACGCAATGAACAAATTGCAGCGCTGGGTGTCTAGGAGCGTGCGCTCCCAGCGTGCCCTGTCAGCGAGCCCTCCCAGCGTGCTCCCGTAGCTTCCAGCGTGCCCCGGCAGCGTGGCTTCCCAGCGTGCCCCCTGACGTCGCCGTTCCCACTCGGGCCACGCGCGCGTAGGGATCAAGTAAGACCGTTCCAGTCCCACCGTTCGGTCTGAGGAGAGGTTCGCCGATGGGTTCAGTCGGGGTGGACATCCTGCTTTCGCCTCAGGGGTATGGGAGCGCAGATCTGGCGGGCCGAACTCGACGCAAGAAAACGGGCGCGGTGTGCCACACTGGCGACCGGCATGAGCCGCGGCGTAAGGTCGTTACGCCATCGTGCTCAAGATCCGTTTCCTTTCGTCGCTCTGTTGAGCTGGGGGGCTGACAGTGAGTCATGCTTTCGGAGGATCTAGCAGCGTTTCTGGCATCGTTTTCCTGGTCATGGTCGCTTCTGCTCCCCGTGGGGAGGGGCATGGATGAGGAGGAGGAAGAGGGAAATAATGTCAGGCTACGACTGTGTGGCAAGCTACGACTGGACAGTCGAGCGGCCGTCGTTAAGTTGGATTAGCCTTTGTCTACTGGCTCGTGAAAGGGCGTCAAGCTCCCGTGCTATTCTTGTTCCAGGACTGCAAGGGTGAGGCCTCATCATCCTAATTATCATCGTCTTGCTGCTGCTCCCCCTTCTCCTCTGGCTCGCCATCTTCCTCCCCGACGCCCTTCCCGCCTCACCCTTCTCCCCTACTACCGCCCCCCTCCCCCCCCCCCTCTTCACGGCCTGCCCCTTCCCATGCTTTGCACCCAGCCCCCTTCCCTCCTTCACCCACTCCTTCTATCCATCCTCGCTCCTCCCTCTCCCTAGTGCCCCTCCCCCCTTCTCTTACCCCTCCTTCCGCTTCTTCCCCCCCCCAGCTCCCAACTGGCCCCACTGCCACCACTCGGGCCCTCCCCCGTCTGCTGGCACCACGCGTGCGCCGCTGGCACGGTCGGCGTGCATGCAGGCTGGGCCTCCTATACTCTTCAGCCCGAGGCGTGTTCCGACCGGACGCGCTCTTGACGGCCCGACCCCCGCCCCCCAACCCCCACCTCGCCCCCCTCCCTCCCGTCCCGTCCCGCTCCCCCCTCCCCCCGCTGCTCACTCACGCCGGCGCCCTCCGCCGCACGCGCCGCGTCGCCTCCGCCGCTTCGCTCCTGCCCTCTCTGGCTGTCCATTCCGTCCCCCTACCCCGTCTGCTCCCTCCCTCCCTCCGCCACCGCCCTTCGTCCCCGTGTCGTGAGAGCCGCCCAGACCAGAACGGTCACCGAAGGCCTCGGGCGGCTGTTTTGGGGCGTCGACGTCTGGAAGGCCCAGATCGGTCCGCAGTGCACTGTGCTGTTCCGCTCCAGTCACTGGAGCCCCCCTTGCCTTGGCGCCCGTGCAGTTTTAGCGCAAGCTACTTTTCTGTCAGCTGTGTGAGGCTTTTTCCCGGAAAGGGCTCAGGCCCAGGGTTCTCTTTTAGTATGTAAACATAGTCCCCCGTGCCCAACTTGAAGGAGGCCGGCGAAATTTTTCCCTGATAAATATCGAGGTCGAAGGAGGCCGGCGAAATTATGTTTGCGGATGTCTCGAGCGAAACGCTTGTTTTTCAGAATTTGTTGAGGATGTCTCGAGCGAGACGCTGGTTTTGCAGAGTTGGGGATGTCTCGAGCGAAACGCTTGGTTTCAGAATTTGTTGAGGATGTCTCGAGCGAAACGCTGGTTTTGCAGAGCCGACCGCGACACGGAAAAGCGCTCCGCGCGCAGGAATTCAGAGGATGTCTCGCGCGTGCCGCGTCCCGCGCGCAGGAAATTCAAGGATGTCTCGACTAATTCGTTTGTTGTCCTAGGATTTCCTTGAATTTTGGCAGGATGTCTCGAGCGAAATGCACGACCCCACCTTAGCACGACCACACCCCAGCACGACCACACCCCAGCACGACCCCACCCCAGCACGACCCCACCCCAGCACGACCCCACCCCAGCACGACCCCACCCCAGCACGACCACACCCCAGCTCGACCCTACCCCAGCACGACCGCACCCCAGCAAGACCACACCCCAGCACGACCACACCCCAGCACGACCTCACCACAGCACGACCACACCCCAGCACGACCACGCCCCAGGACGACCACACCCCAGCACGACCACGCCCCAGCACGACCACCCCCCAGCACGACCACCCCCCCAGCACGACCACCCCCCAGCACGACCACTCCCCAGCACGACCACACCCCAGCACGACCACCCCCCAGCACGACCACGCCCCAGCACGACCACACCCCAGCACCACCACACCCAGTCGCACCCCCGTGGAATGTTTCGTGGGGTGTCTGGTTGAGTGGTTGCCTGTTCGCGGGGTGTCTCGTGGAATGTTTCACGGGGTGTCTCGTGGAATGTTTCGTGAGGTGTCTCGTGGAATGTTTCGTGAGGTGTCTCGTGGGATGTTTCGCGGGGTGTCTCGTGGGATGTTTCGTGAGGTGTCGCCCAGTTGGGTATCGTGAAAACGTGACCATGCTGCACATGTCTAGATCCCTTTCCGGGTTCGTGGGTCCATCATGTTGCTGACAGGCTTCATGCTTTACTCTGCCTCGCAATGCAAAAACGACTCCCCCCCTGGAAGGACAAGAGACACCACCGCCATGGGTGCCACCTTCAGTGAGGGGGTCCACGATGCCTCCCCGAGCTGGGGATAGGGGGTGCCTCGAGCGAGATGGTGGGACCACACCACCAGCTCAAACCCTCCTTGGCTCCTCCCGCTGTTGGTCCCTGGTGGTAGTGGTAGTGGTCGCAAAAATAAATCCCTCCCTTCCCTTCCAGGGTCGATTGCGATCCGATCGACCCGATTCGATGTTGATTCCGGCCGGCACGATCCCATTCGATCCCGATTTTCGGACGATGCGATACGGCCCGATGGTGTTTCCAGGCGAGGCCGCTCCGATGCAATTTCGTCTCCGTGCCGCTACAGACCCATCCGACGCGCATTCCGATTCGATCGGATTTCCCGAGTCGATGTTGATCTTTCCCGCGCGCGCAGGCTACCCCGAGTCCGACGCGAACCGCAGCCACGAGGAGGCATCCGGCGACTGAAGAGCTCCCTTGGCGTAGTTCTTTCTCGAGCTGGCGCGCCGCGGCAAGCGGCGATGGCGGAAGGAGCACAGGCACGAGGAGGGAGCGGGGGGGAGGCGGAGAGGAGGGAGGCAGATGCAGAGGACGGGGGAGAAGGAGCGGAGCAAGCAACTCAAATAAGTATCGGACCCACTGTCTCCCCTACCCACGAGACAACAGCAAGTTTGCATCGAAGTGGCTGCAAGGGCAAACTTCCCACATCAAGGACCCTGCCGGCAGGGAAAACGCATTGGCCTGGAGCCTGGAGACGACCCAGAAGGAACGGAGAGGGAGGATGAATATGGGGTAGAGGGAGACGAGGTTCAGGATGGAAGAACACACAGGCACATCTAATAGACGATTCCCCAGAAAATATGGGACGATATGGGAAGTGGGGGGGGAGACGAACATCACAAACATATGGAAAAGATTGGAAATCCTGGGATTTGTGTGTATTTATTTGTGTGTCCCTGGGCTCCTTCAGAGGTGGAGGGAGACGAGGTGGCGGAAGAGGCAGAGGGAGATTAGGAGGGAGCGGGGCCCGAGGGGAGGGAGGCGGATGCAGATGCAGAAGAGGGAGAGGGAGGGAGGCAGATGCAGAAGGGAGGATATGAGGAGGAGGGAGGGAGGGAGGGAGGGAGGAGGGTGGGATGAAGAGGGGGAGGGAGGGAGGGAGGGAGGGAGCGGGGCCAGAGGGGAGGGAGGCGGATGCAGAAGAGAGGGGGAGGCGGATGCAGTGGCGTGAGGGATAACTATGCAGCCCAGGGGGGCGTACGCACTGGAGGGAGGCGGATGAAGACCCAGAAATAGATCGGGCGCGTCCCTCTACAGGGGGAATATTCAAACATAGTTAAAAAAATATCAGGGGACAACTTGTCTACTAGTCTGGATCACTTTTGAATATTTTTGGTGAATTTCCTGCAAAGGGCTCGGGCCCAGGGTTTTCTTTTAGTGTGCTTACCCCCAGTTCTGACGGCTGTAGGGCCGGCGGAATTATTTTGCCATAAATAACGAGGTCGCGTAGGGCTGGCGAAATTATTTGTGAGGATGTCTCGAGCGAAACGCTTCAGAATTGTTTGAGGATGTCTCGAGCGAAACGCTTGTTTTGTGTTATAGATTGTCATCTCCTGGGGACCTGAATTCAGAGGATCGTGAAATGCTTGTTTTCACGCCTCCAAGTTGCACGCCTCCAGGTTGCCCAGACAGATGTCTAGCAGTTAGTGGGCTATGGAAGCGACAGGGCCGTTTTTTTACCGGTTCCGTTTAGGAGTTTTTGTTTGCCGGTTCCGACGCCGTTTTTGTTACCGGTTTTGTCGCTGTTTTTTGATTGGTTCTGGCTCCGGTTCCAATCCTGGAGCCGTTTTTTGTGCCGTTTCCGGTCGCCATTTTTTTGCCGTTTCCATTTTCAAGGGACATGTGTTTGGAAACGGTGAAAAAACGGCCCTGCCGTTTCCGGGGCCCACAAAGGTCTAGCATGAGGATTTGTTGAGGATGTCTCGAACCAGAGGCTTGTCTTCAAGTGTCCAGGTCGCCCAGGCGGATGTCTAGCATGAGGCTATGTCGAGGAAGTCTCGATCGAGACGCTTGTTTGCACGTGTCCAGGTTGTCCAGGCGGATGTGAAGCATGAGGATGTGTTGAGAACGTCTTGAGCGAAACGCGTGTTTTCACGTGTCCAGGTCGCCCAGGCACAGCACAGCCCTCGGCACGGTGCATCAATATCGATACCCTCAGCATTTCAGCCTGGCATGTTGCCTGGCACGTTCCGCAGAGCGTCCCGTGGCGAGTCCCCCTGACACGTCGCGCGGTGCACGTCCATTGGCTCGATCCGTAGCGTGTCCCCTTGGCACGTCCCGCGGTGCGTGCCCATGGCACGTCCCCTGGCACGTCGCTTGGCGCGTCCCTTGGGACGTTCCGCGGCGCGTCCTCCTGGCATGTCCCCTCTGTCGATTAGTTTTGGGGCAGCTATCATCTGCTCAGGCAGATCGAGCTTAAGATCAAGATCAGTTCGGTTAGGACTTGGATGCAAAGAGGACTCGATCCACAACGCTATATAGAGCACAATCGCGGCATGGCACATCGCAGTTCAGCACGGCCCAGCACAGCACAGCCGTCGGCACGGTACGTCAAGATCGATACACTTTTTGTTATCATCCATAAGGAGCCCAGCGGCAAGAGCGGGTGACAACAGAGCGCAGAGAAGCTGGAAGAGGCAGAGGAGGAGGGGAGGAGGAGGAGGAGGACCGAGGAGGCAAGGCAGCGCGCCACGGCGAGCGCGCGGAGCAACTGATTACAACTAATTAGTCTGGCGCGCCCGGGCGCTCCAGCAGGCGCCGCCGCACAGCCGCCCGCCACGCCGCCTCGCGGCCCCCGGCGCGCGGGGCATCCAGGAGCAGCAGGCCGGCCGCCCGCGGGGGCAGGAGCGGCGCCCATCCGCTGCACGGACGGCTCGCGAGGCGCTCCCAGCCCAGGGCCCAGCACCCGCACGCCATGCAGGCCACCCAAGCGGGCCCCTGGGAGGCGACGTACCCCCGCCAGGCGCTGCCGGCGCAAATCGCCCTCGCCGCGACGGCCGCCCCAGCGCCGCGCGCGCTGGCCGCTGCCCTGCCTGCGGGGCCGCCGCGGCCACCACCGCAGCGTCGTCCGCCACGCGGGGCGCGCGGCGGCGGCGACGCCCCGCCTGCGTCCAGCGCCGCCGCACGCGCGGGCCTCCAGGGCCGTGCCCGTGGTTGGCCTTGAGCGCCGCGAGTTCCACTGCGGCGAGTACGCGCTGTACGGCCGTGAGCGCATCCAGCTGCCGCTCGCGCTCCTGGCGCAGCACCAGCGGAGGCAGCTGGGCCTCGGCAGCCAGCCCTGTGAGGTAGTCCGCCGCGGCGTTGCCGGAGCGGTCCTCGGGCAACGCCCCGCTCCTGCGCCTCCGCAGCGGCAAGGGGTCCCTTGACCCATCTCGCGGCCAGCGCGCCGCTGCGGCAGTGAGGGACGATCAGCTCCCACAGGTCTGCGTGGGCTCAGTCCTCAGGGGACGCCCGTGCCCTGATCGCCGCGACGCCGTTGCTGACGAAGCGTGAGTCGGTCACTACCTCGACGGCCCCGCCAGCCAGGCTGACGGCATGCACCGCCGCTGTGAGCTCGGCGCGCTGCGCGGTCTGCGCGCCGTCGACTGGCCCTCGATGCTCCTGGCGGCCCGCCCCCTGGTCCAGCACCAACCCCCCACCCTGCTCTGGCGAGGAAAGGGGTCTATGCGGTGCGCGCAACGGCCGTCCGTCCAAGCGCGCGCACGGGCTGGCTCGGCGGCAGGGGCCTGCAAGGCTGGGCGCGGCAGCGGCCACTGCGCCTGGTCCGCCAATGCAGCCAGCTGCGTGTGCTGAGGCAACACTCTGGTGAGCGACAACTGGGCCGGCAGTCGCGCGTAAGGCCCTCAGGGACCAGCGCGCCGGCGCGCGCGGGTTCCCGGCCGGGGCATGCCCAGAAGCGGTGCTCGAAGTCGTCGCATGCCGCAGGGCGCCCCATTTCGCCGCCACCGCCTCCGTGACGACGTTGCCGGCGAGCACGGCGCGGAGGGCCCCGGCGGCGTCGGCCGCCAACTCCCCGCTTTCGAGAAGCCGCCTGGTGGCCCACCTGTCGATTCCAGCGTCCAGGTGCCGAAAGCCGGCTCGCCGCCCATCCATTTCGCGGGCCTCGCGGGCCGCCCAAGCCCGGAGGAGTACCGCGCGCGTGTCGGGCAGGGCTCGGTCAGCCGGGCGGCAGCCGCCAGGTGAGGTGGCCACCCCGTCCAGCACTTGACGTCGGCCCCCAGCTGCAGCTCCGCCATGCTCCAGGTCGCCGCGTCCACTGGGCCGAAGCCGCAGCCGTGCCCCGCGGCCATGGCGCCAGCGGCTCGCCTCCAGAGCTCGGCGGGGAATCGGCGTTTCCGGATGGCTTTGGCGACCTGCCACAGCGGCGCGATGATCGTCACCGCCGCTGGGTCCAGCCGCCAGGTCGGCGCCAAGATGCCGAACACGATCTCCGCGGCCGCCCGGAGACCGCCCTGGCAGACGGCGTGCCGCGCGGCGGCGCGAAGCCCGGCCAACTCGCGCGCAGGTGGGCGCCCGCAGGCCGCGACATCAAGGCCCGTGGCAGTGCCCGCAGCGCTGCACCTTGGCACGCTCCTTGGCGCGAATCGTGGCGACTCCCCCTGGCACGTCGCGCGGCGTGTCCCCTGGCACGTCCCGCGGCACGTCCATTGTCACGTTCCGTAGCGCGTCTCCCCTTGGCACGTCCCGCGGAACGTCCCCATGGCACGTCCCGTGGCACGTCGCTTGGCGCGTCCCTTGGGACGTTCCGCGGCGCGTTCTCCTGGCATGTCCCCTCTGTCGATCAGTTTTGGGGCAGCTACCATCTGCTCAGGCAGCTCGAGCTTAAGATCCATATCAATTCAGCCAGGACTCGGATGCCAGGGAGGACTTGATCCACAACGCTATATATAGAGCACGATCGCGCCATGGCACATCGCAGTTCAGCACGGCGTAGCACAGCACAGCCCTCGGCACAGTACATCAAGACCGATACATTTAGCATTCCATGTGCCCGTCGCCCAATTAGGTGTTTTTGAAACGTCGTCATGCCTTACATTTCTATATTCCTTTCTGGGTTCGTGGGTGGATAATGTTTTGAATGTTCGTCGAAACTCCGCTTGTAGGGGGACATGCGAATGCAGACCCAGAGTTAAGTCGGGCGTGTCCTTCCACAGGGGGGGGTATTCAAAAATAGTTTACAATAGTCAGGGGACGAATTTTCCATTATGTTTGACCATTTTTGAATATGTTGGGGGGACATCCGCCCAACATAGTTTAGTTTCCCCCAACATCCGCCTTTTAGGGGGACTTGCCCGACGTAAGTCCAGAGGTTCGATGCCCCGAAAGAATTGGAGCGGCTGTTTTGTTTCTCCCCATGGTCGGCCTCTGGGGGCCCTCAACTCAAACAGTGGTGAAGCGTCCTGTCTCGC